GAACACACCAGACAGCAGGTCAGAGAATACAGTTATTTCCTTTGTTAATTACTGCAGCAACAAGAGGTTATTTCTTTCCCTCAAATGAGCCAAATAATGAAATGTATGAAATTCGTAGCTGATATTCTTAGTGATTGCAATGATTAAGTAGCGATGTGCTTTAAGTTGTCTACTTGCTCTGCATTTGGTTTTGGCACAATGTAGGCTGCGATTTTAGCATGCAGTAGGCCTCCCTCTCTCTCCCTTGAAAACTTAGTTATTCAAAAACATCGCGATCGCATCCATTTATAATTTTGATTTTTCGATAAATTTAATCATTCCCCTCTTTTAGCAGCCTTTTGAAATCATGCTTTTTCCTGCAGCTCGGTAGGCTGGTCAGGACAAGGTTGTTCTGTAAAATATATGGACGAATCTCAAACGGAATGCAGCTGCAATCATTTGACCCATTTTGCTGTCCTGATGCAGTTTGGCACGGAACCTTACAATGAAGACTTATCTGAGGTGGGCTAGGTCATGGGTATCATAATTTATGAAAAAAAAAACAAAAATTAAATGCATTTAAAAACTTTAGAAGGGCCTTATCTGACTTTGTTTATACTAAAAGCATATGTACCTAGTTTTGTGCTATCTTACATATTTTACACAGACCGACAACAAAATTCTGGAGATTCTTACCTACATGGGTTTGACATTATCTCTGATTGGAATTACCATGACAATTCTCGGCTACGTTTTTCTCACGTAAGTACTTTACAAGGAAGTTATTTAACATTGAAAGGCACACATTATTCAGTATCATGCACTGACACTACTGCTTAAGAGTGTTTATTCTTTCGAAGACAATTTTAATCCTCACAGACACTTCTGTTCCCCTTGTCAATCCTTTGAATTCTTTGCCCTAGGGAGATGAGAGGTCCTTTGTCTCAGATCCGTGTTAGTCTGGTTGCTTCGCTTGGCGCAGCTCAAATCATATTTCTTGGTGGGATTGGTGCGACTGAGAACAAAGTAAGGAACACTAAACCAGGTTACTGTAAGTTTCTTCAGACTTTTCTGTCTTTTCTCATTTGCATATGAGGCAATGCCCGAAGTTTTCGATTAAACCACGATTTTGCCAGAAAAATATATTTATTCTACACGCCTTAGCGTAACTAAAGGCCAAATGATTAGCCATGGTATATGGAGGCTGGGCTTTACTTCTTTGCCCACGAATGGTTTTACTTAACCGCAGCAACAGATAGCTGAATTGTTCCTTCTTTCCAGAAAGTATGTGTAATGGTAGCAGCCCTTGAGCAGTTCTTTTTAACAGCCGCTTTCTGTTGGATGTTCATCGAGGGAGTTTACCTTTACTTGTTTGTTGTAAAAGTCTACAACGTTACAAACAAGATGAAGATATGCCACGGAGCTACATGGGGTAAGACTATATTTCAGTTCTTTTACTTGTGTGCAAGTAAATGGATTAAAAGAGGTTAAACTAAAAGCTGATGTGAACGCGTAAAACCTAAGAAATGACTGGCTCCTTCCCGGCTCTAGCGGCATAAAAGAATAGGAACATTAAATCTCATCCTGCAATGCATGTGGAAGTTAGTTCACTGCTGGAAAATCTGAAAAAAATCCTAATTTTGGTGCGCTTAAGTGTAATTAACCTTAATGAACTGTCTTACCCAACAGCACACCCGGCAATGACTCTTCTGGAAGTCAACCTCAAACCTCTTGCACCATTAGGACACCCCTACTCAACTCCTTGGTGCACTTTAAATTCCGTTTTCAAACATATTCTCTTGCAAGCCAGGAGTGAATGTTTTTGGCTTTGCTGTCACAGGTTTTTCTGCACTTGTGGTCACCTTATCCTTGAGCATCACGGCAGGCATAGCGGGAATCGAGAGTTTTGTGAGCGAGAAATAGTAAGTAAAACATGTACCTTTCAGTAATGAAAGTAATAATAATGTTTCTTTTGTTCGTAAAAGATGTTTAAGCAACACTTCGAAAAATATATTTAATGTATTATTTGTTAATATTGCCGTTAAATTATTTTTTTATTATTTTGGTTTGTTTGTTTTTTGTCTGTTAAGTTGCTGGCTTTCTAACGAAAATGGTCTGATCTGGATATTCCTTGTCTTTGTCTTGCTGATTGGATTGGTGAGTCGACAGTATCGTAGCCCCACTTATATTTCTCACTAACGTGATTTTGAACATCTATTGATTATAAGATTACATGCAACTGTCAAGACGACTTTTTTAATGGTGGCAGTGATGAAACGGTATCGACGACAAGGGACAAAGTAGAAGGAATTAGGGAAAAAACTGAAAAAACAATGAGTGAGCTATTCTCGCCTTTAATTTATCATTACATCAGTAGCACCTTGGTCTAATCACTACTTTTTATACTTTTAGCTTAACATTATGATCCTTGTACGAGTTATCAGGGAGATGACGACGATGCAACAAACCAAGGACAATCAAACTGAACAAATCAGGTAGAGAACGAAATCTTTAACGTAAGGAATCCAAAAGAGAACAAATAACCAAGAGTTCATTGGTAGTTCCTTGCACACACACCCACATGCACAAAAACCAAACAAACAAACAAATATACGACAATGACGATGATAACAATAATCTGATTCTTCGATGATTTGATGTCTTAAAGAGAAAGAAAAACATTCCTTTGTAGGCTTGGCATCAGAGCATGCGTGGTAATGATTCCTCTTTTGGGTGTCACGTGGCTGTTTGGCGTTTTACTGCCATTACACAAAGCTTTTGCCTATATTCTCACGATTTTCAACTCAACCCAAGTAAGTTTGGAAGAAAATGTATATCTCTGTACTTGTTAGACACACGGACGAGAAAGAATCTTGACTTAACGAGATCAATATTTACTTTTCAACAGGGTTTTATGATTTTCCTCCTGCACTGCTTGAGAAACACGGAGGTATAATATCACTATTTCGTTTGAAGCTTTTAGTGTCCCAAGGTTGGCTTATTTTTATTTTCTTCCTATCGATGGAAAAGCCATTTTTCTCACTCCTTATTCTTGCAGATAAGAAGTCGACTCAGGAGAAAGCTCCATTCCATTTTCCCATTAGTAGACAATGGAACAAGTA